CGTCGCCGTCGCCGCTGACTCCGTCGGTGACGCCGCTGACTCCGTCGGTGACGACAGCCGCGGTCCGGCGCTCGGCGGAACAAAAACCTCCCGGGCCGTGAGCAGTATTGGTCCGGGGCGATGGATGAGGCGGCCACGGGCGCCGTCTGTTTAACACGCTGCTGATGAGTCGGGCCCGGCTGGAATTAGCTTTCGGTGCAGCGCCGTCCGCCTCCGCTGTCCGGCACCGGTCGCCGCAGATGGATCACCCACGAGTGGACTGAGACCAGTCGGCCGCGCCCCCCAAAAACGGACCGCACTCGGCAGCCAGCGCACTGTGGACGCCCACTCCCCCAATGACGTCAAAATGGCGCGCATCCGGGTGGCAATGACGCAGAAATGATGAACGAACCGACTGGATAGAGATGTGAACTGCAGATATGCGTATTTGGAAATATATTGACGAAGAGTTGAGGCACTTTGACATAAACGACTTGAAGATTTGGAACTGTGAAAGAGATGGTTTATTGGAAAACTAGGCCAACTACTGTCATAGACTCTTCAATATTAGCCGAACTGGGAGCAGCTATTTCACATAAACACCAGATTTGGACGTCCCAAGCTCAATTAGAAAGACGATTTTCTCTGCGATCAGATATATTTATGACTGAAGAAAGGTTATGATGTAGTTAAGATTTACATATAAGATAATAAATTGAGGTAATTGTGACTAATGGTGACAAAAGTGTGTGAATGAAATAGGCGTATAGGCACCGAATGCATCAACGCTAGATGGAACAGGGATCAGCTTTTGTGTTAGATAATATACAAAATTTAGTAGGTATACATTTTGCCTCAAAATATGCACGGTATTATAAAATCTATGAGGCGTTGTTAAACTAAGTACCAAACTATAATATCAGCACAACCTATAGGTTTTATGCAATCATTTATGCACATTAACCCGCGCCCTGGTGGGGTCTGTTTATAACGCGACCTGGTGGGGGGGGGGGGGGGCTATTTTTTGCCCCCCTCTCGTATCTCCGAAACTACTGGACGGATCCGCAAAATTCAAACGGCGTTCGAAAGGCCTGTCAAATTTGTCGAGGAAAACCAAATTTCATTGACCTCGGGGTCACCGATGACGTCACAGGTCAGGTCAAAGATGAAATGTTTCACCGTTCACGGGTCTTCTAGGGAATGCGCTATAACACCGAGGAAAACGCATTTTGTCGAGAATCAGCGATAGGGCGTCAGTTGCCTAGTAGATATATTACTATTAGAGGTCACTGACAATACCAGGTCAGGTCACAGGTCAGGTCACCAAGGGTCACAGGCCAGGTCACATGAGCCCAACTTTACTAAGGTTGTGTGATGCATGTTTTATGGCCAATTTTTCATTTCCAACTCAATGGTATTGGTTATAAGACTATCAGGTACGGCTTAGGTCACTTTCTGGTGAAGTTCAGGTCAAGGTCAGGTCAAGGTCAGGCCAAAAAAGGTCAAATTTTAAAGTTGATAGTTTTGCATAAAATGGGTATTGATTCGATGCAGCTCGTCACGGGGAGTCTAATGGTGGTCTTTGTTTTGCGCTACGGGGTCTAGAATTGCTAAAAATTGAGTTTGAAAATTTGACGTCATCAATTTTGAACAGTTTTTTCGCTATAACTTCGCCAAAAAAAGAGGTATCGATCTCAAATTTGGTATGTGGATGGAAGGCGGTAAGGACTATCACATATATTCCGGTTTTTGCGAAATTCAAAAAACTTTTTGGATTTTTCGATTGTTATATGCAAAAAAATTATTTTTTGATTTTTGGGGGTCAAAATCCAAAAATTTCAAAAATCCGAGATGGCAGTTTTGTAGCCCTGTTAATTCTACAGCTTTTATGTCTTTATCATTTTTCTGTATTCGCAAAGCTATAGGCCTGACAGCTCTTCCCGCGAAACCCTTTTTTGGGTCGAAAACGGCAGAACATGACGTCACTCTGACGTCATTTCCGGCCAACCTATCATAGCCTTTGGAAAAATGTTTGGTCACAATGTGTAAAATTGATGTCCGGGAGGGTACTGAAAGTTTGGTGACGATCGGCGCAGCGGTTCTGGAGATATATCAAAAAGTCTGGAGGGGGGGCAAAAAATAACCCCCCCACCAGGGCGCGGGTTAATGCTCGTTTTGTTGGTAAACAACTGTAAACTAGATAAATTATTATATCCATCCACGGAAAATTGGATGTCACCGTTTAACATCACCGAATTCATGACATTTCAATTCTATTGATGTGGGTATTCATTTATTCAATTCCACATCCCTAGTCAAATGCGTGTAAGTTAGCCAGTGATTATAATGATTTGAATGCATTTGCTTGCAAAGGAGATCCTGGAAGAGATCATTAGAGGAATGCAAATCGGATCAGATTTGGTGCCTGTTTAATGATCGGCCCTGCCTCGGTTGAAAGGGAAGTTTCAGCTCATTATTCGTTAGTCACTGATCCCGTCCAAACTGATAACACACCACAGCCAGCACACGCTTTTCATTAAATGTGCTATCTGAAGTTTGCTTAACATTTTTATCCATTTAAATACAATAATTTTACATAACTTTTCGTTTCGCCCTACATACATACACCGTGTAGTGCTCACATTTTTAACATTTTTAAGCATTTTTAGCATCTTATTTCGACCAGATCAAAGTACTTTTGTAAAAATCAAGTATCGTGTACATATACATATGTCTAGGGAATAATCATCTAGTGACCGATTGAAATGAAAAAGTTGGTGTTAAACTTCTGAAGCGAAGCTCATTTCTACAAAAGCAATACAGAAATGTCTCATATGGATTGACCTGCACGGCTGTCAGGGGCGAGGTGTCACCCGACAAAGCCCACTTCATCTTCCGAAACAATTACACCGAGTGGGACCGAGTCTATGGCCGGCTCACCTGCAGTGGGCCACTGATCAGCGACACACCAAACCGATACGGGCTGTCAGTTGTGTGACAGTGCCGCCTCGGTACCGTCCCGGCGGGGCGGACCGACCACGTCACGGTAATGAGCCGGCCCCTCCCGGTGGCACGTGGACGCCCCTCCCGGCGGCCCGTGAACGTGTCTCCGTGTCTCCCCCGGGTAATGGCTCGGCCGTGAACGCGATATAGCCGTCAGAGCCGTGAGTGAATGGCAATGTTTTAGCTGATCTCATTCATGCCCACGATACGGGTCTCCATTCAGGGCCAAGTGTTTTCGTAGTTGGGCTATATGAAATAATTTGAAACGTTTTTTTTTTTTTGTACGGTGGATGTGAAGGTGCTTGACACAATATTATGGACTAGACGTGACCCGATTCCGTACTTATTTTGGGACGCCATTTAATTGCGTCCCAGAAAAGCTATTTCTGGCACCTAAAAGCTGACTCGTCCCAAAATTGGTCCTCAGCACCTATTTGGTGGATACCAGCACCAATCATGGAAAATGACCTTAATTAGCTGTTTCTGGCACCTATTCATCGGTACGCCTTACTCTTTTTTCTGAATCTGGCACCTAAATGCTGAGCGTAGCACCAATCTAGTAGAAAAATGAACTACTGGCTGGTAGAATCATGTTGTTCTGGTATAATGACCCCTGGAGTCTAGCCTAAAGGTTGCCAGTGCAGCTACACTCTAAGACAGCCCCGTAGTGATCTCAGCATTGTATATGACGTTTAAGTAAGCAAATAATATTGATTTGTTTGAAAAAGCAATGTCATTTAAATATTTAAAAGTATTTATTTGTAATGCTTAAAGGGAAACATTTTTGTGAGTAATTGTCTCAATTTTGACCATTAAAACGGGTATTGTATTTTTTGACGTCATTAAATAGCTCCAAAAAAGAAATGTAATGTTTTCATTCCGTTCAAGGCCGCTGAAGAAACGCGGGATCTTGCGTGGGACATTGTCCGTTGTTCGCCGCGCAGAGTTGTGCCGTGGTTGTGCCTTTTTCATCCGTTTCTTACTTATGTGCGCATGAAGCTTTGATTTTGTTTTTGGTTATTGTGTGGCCGGTCAGTCAAACGCCCCTGTAGAAACCGGATGCTGCGTTTGATCGAGATGGAGTCAGACGATGATTGCAGAAAGCTAATAATATTGAAAAGAGGTCCGGTTGCGTGGTATGTCTGTTCAGAGTTGACATTTTGCTTTACTCCAGTTTATGACCGGAGAGCCTGGCTGGAAGTGACGGATCCAAACTTTTCACGTTAAAATGGCTGAGGGTGCAATAATCTCTACATAGCGGGCTGGTATAGGAGCGTCTTGCTATGCTGCACCATAGCTGGCTAGTGATTCTCTTTTGGCTAGAAATGGCATTAATCATTATCTCCACTTGCGAAAATGGCACTTGACATCACCGAATGCAACGTTCATGTTTGTTAGGATACATAAAATCAGGAAGATTACGCGAATTAGGTACTAGGTAGGCACACGTGGAATAAAATAGGTGCTGGATGTTTTGGTTTTGGTGCTGAATCAGCAAACAGCAAATACGGAGTTTAACTAGACGATCTGGCAACTTTAGGCTGTGTGGAAGCAATTAGGTGCCAGATTCAGATATTAGGGTCGAATAAGCATTTTGGGGCTGGTCAGCAATTAGGTGCCAGAAACAGCTTTATAGGGACCAGAAACAAATATTCCCCCTTATTTTGTCGGTATACCTGTGAACATTATTGGCTAAGTTCAACAAAATAATAAATTTTATAAAGTAGGCTCCGATGGAAGAAATTAGCGTAATAACTTGAACTTCTTGCAGAGTATTCGACATCATTCATCCACGCAGGAAATTTCTGAAAGATGGTATGTTTTAAACCGTTGCATAAGGTGTTCACTTCTAAATCTTATCAAACTGTTTCAGAAGCCAACAGCAGCACTGAAAATATATCTGACGACATCAGCAGGAACAAGTAGCTTACCTGGGCTCACGACTAATAAACATGTGATTTTGGAGCTCTATGGAATTCGTTGTAACCGTTACCTGAAAAGGATGTTTGCTTTCACAGGTTCGGTGAAGTCTGGACCACGAAGTTCGTCCGATTTCAGCCTTTCACTCAGCTTATCGAATTGAAAGACCTCCAAAGGTAAGTGTTGTCGACTTGAGTTTATATTTAGATAGAAAACAGAACAGGCTGTGCCATAAATGGCCCGAACTTTAGATGGGATACAATTACCTATTTAACTATAGATCAATTATATGGACAATCGTGCAATGTGATGCAGCTATAATTTAGGTACAACAGAATGGAATACGTGCTCATTCCAGCACTAATATTGTTGTAAAAAGGGCTGTTTGCGGTTGTATACTTCCCCACATCTTCAACCGCCAAAACCGTACTTTAAAGACAGTTTTCAATCAGATAGTCGTTATCTGTGACACATCACCAGTCGCGGCGACATCTGCGAACATTTTCGCTTCCTGTGACGTGGCCGTTACGATTTTTCGCGATGGCTGGAGGCGGTGATCATTTGCCCCGAAGTCTGAAGGAAATGGGCGAATAACAGTCATAAATCGAAACTGGTCGCTCGAGTTTCGCTCGCAGCGGCGCCGGTCATAGAACAGCGGCGTGTTTCGGCCTCCCCCACAGCGCTGCATCACAGTCCGCACTGTGGGAGAGACTGGTGTATTTTTATCGTCCCGCCTACAATGCATTACACAATACACAGTCCTCGCAATGTCGGAGTGGTAAGGCGGGCAGTGTTTTGCCTAATGTGCTTGACAAATACAGCCAATATTCGGATCTAGCAAAAACCTAGAAAGGCAGTCACGACATTGGATAGAAATTTTGATAGAATGCAGGTAATGCTGTGGTGAACTTGTTAAAGATAGGGCATTCCACATATGCCGTGTGGTTTCCAAAGTCTTGTGTTGTATGCATTTTTCGTATTCAATAATCGGCTTGACTTTTACTATTTCAACGGAGTTTCTTAATTCTTAAAAGTATGTTTTATACAGAACCAGACGCTCCTCAGTCAGACCATACTTGCGCCTATTTCGCACACTGATACCTAATCCAGCGATACGCTGGAGCCTACAGAATGTTAAGAGTCTTATTGAAAATGCATGAACGTTCCTATGTAAATATTTTATGCAATTGAGAGAAACAACGCGACGTTCCACTTTGAAATGCTTTTTACAGCTGATGAAATCTCATAAGCCTGTATAATTAAAAAGGCGCTTAAACCTAAGAGGCGACGCTTGCATGCGCATGCAATCTGCATTCAAAGAGTAGCTTACAATGCCTTTATGCTTTAGGGTTTTATTAATAAATATTTTAGTCGAGTAGGCGCACAATTTCCATAACTCTGAAGAAAATCCCCGGGCGCGTTTGGTCAAGCGTGGCGCAGCTAAACCAGCTTTAATTTGGTGAGCCTGAGATAGGATTACCCTGATGGTTCATGGAACGCCAGAACTGCAAAACGACATCCAAGCGGACACTCGCAATGCTTCTGCTGTAGAGCGCATTGTGAAACACCCACTATTCACGACACTGCCGCCACCCGAAGAAGAGTAAATAACAACACAACTTTCTTGATTTGTGGTCGACAGTTGCTTGAGTTAGCTAATTGGATCCACTGCTGCCGCGACAACACAGTTCCACAATCCGTTTATTGGAGCTGCGGGACGTGGTTCAACTGATGATGTCAGTCGTCGTGAGGTGGCGTGCAGGGGTCTCTTCACTACTCCGCAACCCTCCGAACCGTGACATTCCCGTGTCAGTGTGGCGTGACGGTCCTTTTATCTGGGACCGGGGTCCGCCCTTTACAAGCATCCCGCAAATGTTGGTACCTCCTGTCCTCTGAATACCTGTCAGTCCGTGTAACGAATCCTGTTCACTCTGCAGTCACGACCGCATGACTTGCCTTCTCGGTTACCAAGTCCACCGTTTCATCCGCGGTCACGGCGGGGACTGACCTGCCAGTCGTTAACGAGCCCTTCAGTTGGCCCTGCGGCTACTTTCGGCACTAACCTGGATCGGGAGTCGGTCCGACACGAATAACAGAGGTCCAAACCACCGGTGGACATAGCTCGGGCGTGGCGAGCGTCATCCGTCTACAAAATAGCTCCGGAGTGCGGACCAAATTAACTCCCCGAAAGCGAAAATCAGCAATCCAACAGAACGATAAAGCACAAAGCCGAGAACAAGCAAATTGGAGGGTAAATAGCCGGCAAGGGAAGAAATCCTGTCCCTGCAGCTTGTCTCTGGAATAATTCTCCTAGCCTCATCAGTAGGTGGATCATTCTCGCGCAAACGAAATCGGGTGTTCGCTGCCTTATTGCGATATTTCCTTAAATTTATAGACCCAGACGTCCCTCCGTATTGGTGAAGGCTTTGGCCAGTGGCTTTCAAACCAATCACGGTAATAGTCTGTAGCAGGAGCGCGCCCGTGCAGACGTCTATTGATTTATCATGTTCCTTTCATCAGTGCTGGACTGCGTCGCAGCTCAGAAAGGAAGCCCGTGACATCCGCAGGCTGCAATCGGGAATTATTTGGATCCGCAGGAATCGTTAGACTGGTTCCATCGACTTCGCCGCCTTCGGGGCTTCGGTAACTTTGATTCCGTTGTACGCCATGTGCATCGCGCAATCATGCATGAGGTGTGGTTTTGAAAGCAATTTCATTTACAAAAGGTTTTACTTTACCAGTGTGCTGCCTGGTATGATACATTGTATAAATAGCTCATAACACACGCAACAAAGTTGAAGGTCCCGTTGGCATGGCATACCTACCCATAACCTCTCTGACACATCACCACGGCAAAAATCAACATAGAATTTCCAGCGAGCACAAGGTTCTTTTATATCGTATATTATATGCACATGGAACGAACGTACGCACATCCCGGTGCAAGCAAAACAGTGACTGAATCAGCTGCCCTAAATGTCAGTAATCCGATTTTAGCTTTTTTGCACGACGTCTTATGCCCCTTTCACAAGGACATCATCAATGAAATTGGGAAGATACTAACATAATTACCAACGCCAGAGTAAAAAAAAGCAAAAATATCCGGTGACTCGACCTTTCTATGATGCTCCCAACAACGCACATTGGCGCTCAGGACAATTCCTTGAAGTCTGCTTGTTGATAATTCCATGCTTCATGTCGACCAATTCTCAGAATCTGTCAGCGAAGGGTTCGACAGTGCCAATTAATAGTGGTAATGCAGACGGATCACGGGCACTTTGTCGGTGATACGCACATCGTAAGTGTAACACTAGCAAGAGGTGATGCACCCCTGTGATAGAACCTGATGACAGAACACCTAGCGCGAGGAGATGGACAGACAGCGAGATTGAATAGAAAGGACAGCGAACGTGGGTCACCTCGCGATGCGTGTGTGTCTCGCGATGCGTGCATCTTCCATTCTTGGAATTTTAAAGCTGGACTATCCCACCTTCTAAAATGTTGTTAAAACCAGTTAAATTGTGCCCGACTTTATAGATTGGATGACCAGGAACACGGTTCTGGCATTTATTTTTCATTACACATCTTAGGCTTCCCATATTCCAAACACAAACTTTCAAATATGTGACGTCACAGCCCAAAATTACCTCCTTCCCCAGGCCACATTACTGTCATAAAGCTGATTCTTTTTACTCTGTAGGCACCACAACAAAGTTCAGACCAAGTTTTAAGCGATTTTTCAACGAAAAAACCCATTTAAATCAGAATGACTAAACGAGGTGACGTCACACTAACGGTCGCTCCATGTTGAAGATAGGGCCTTGCACAAGGCCCATTTTCAAATGAAGGGAACAAATTTCTTCAACACCAAGAGGCCGCGGGGGTTGCAACCTAGATAGATAGTGGTTTCTGAACCTCGCCGCAAACTTGGCTATCTCAACTCAAACCCCATGTTAAAGGTGGGATAGTCCCTTTAAGGTACAACTGGGACCAATGACGGGTCAGAAGACACCGGAAAACTTAAAAGGAAGAAAAAAGGAGGGGGGAGGGGGAGAAAATGAAAAAGTCTGTGCCTAACCTATGATGTGCTCTTACGAGCCCTGTGGGGCCCTTTTGAGTCGAAATATGGTCAGCGTGGACCCTCAGCGGCCAATTGGCGCCAAAGGGCCCATCGGACCCCAGGGGCCCCCTGAACCCGATGAGAGAGGCACGTGCTCCCTGTGCCCCCCACCCTCGCCACTGGGAGAGAGAAAGAGAGAGAGAGAGAGAGAGAGAGAGAGAGAGAGAGAGAGAGAGAGAGAGAGAGAGAGAGAGAGAGAGAGAGAGAGAGATAGAGATAGAGATAGAGATAGAGATAGAGATTAGAGATAGAGATAGAGATAGAGATAGAGATAGAGATAGAGATAGAGATAGAGATAGAGATAGAGATAGAGATAGAGATAGAGATAGAGATAGAGATAGAGATAGAGATAGAGATAGAGATAGAGAGAGAGAGAGAGAGAAAGAAAGAAAGAGAGTGAGAGAGAGAGCCAGACAGCCAGAACAGACAGACAGAGACAGAAACAGAGACAGAGACAGAGGCAGAGACAGAGACAGAGACAGAGACAGAGACAGAGATAAGGAAGAGTGAGAGATGTCACGTCGTGTCGCAGAGGAGGGAGCGCACTCTGAGGAAATGGGTGCCACTCCCCGAGTGGACAGCCGGAAGGGTTGTTATGTAATCGTGAGGTGCCGGACTAATGCGACGATGATTGGGTGGGACTGACCGTGGCTGGGCCAGCCAGAGCACCGCTGGCGCACCGCCAGGCCAGCATTGTTATGTCCTGGATGCCGGTTATATTAGCTCTGTTTTTGCGTCAATGCATAATATGGATGGCTCCGACTGCCACAGAGCCAATACGCTGTGCCTTGCAGAGGAAAAGAAACCTACGTAATGCGTTAGCCACTGCTGAGAGCTACATTGGCTTTTTATGATGCAAATGGTGATATTTGTTGGCTGTGCCATGAGCTCAGCTGCACGCCACCTCCGTCTAAAGTCTCCCGTCGTGGGTGTAGGTCGTTACCCCTTATCGATGTGCTATACATATACCACTGTCTATTCTGCAGAGGTGTTGCCAGGCGCCGACCATCCGCTCAGCACCACACAATGGAGGACACGAAGTCAAAGGCCTCGACC